GTTTCTGCTCCATGGGCCAGCCCAGCCCCTCTGGAAAAACACCCGCCAGGAGACAAGGGAGAGAGGGATGGAGGGATGGATGGAGGGATGGATGGAGGGATGGATGGAGGGATGGATGGAGGAATAGATGGAGGCCTCCACAGAAATCAAAGACTGAATCACAGAATCCCAAACTGGTTTGGGTTGGAAGGAACCTTAAAGCTCTTGTTCCACGGGCAGGGACACCTTCCACTAGCTCAGGTTGCTCCAACCTGGCCTTGGACAATTCCAGGGATCCAGGGGCAGCCACAGCTTCTCTGCCCAACCTGTGCCAGGGCTTCCCTGCTCCTCTCCCCAGGAGAGGAATCCTGTGCCAGCACCACCCCCTGCTCCCTTATCCTCTCGCTGCGGGGACTGAGAGTTGTTAACCTGAGGTGAGATTAATTTTTAACAGCATCATCTTAATTGCCAGGCTATAAGTAGACCCTCCCACCCCTCCTCTGCCTCAGCTGCTCCTCACACACGTTGGGGGTCACAGGATGCTCCGGGGGGTGCTGGGGCAGCGATGGAGCTGCAGGAGCCCAAACCTCCACCAGGACGGCCCAGGAGATTGTCCCCAGGAAGGTCTGGGTGGAGCCCATCCTAGCCAGGGAAACTCCAGGGGAGTCCCATGGACGTACAGCCAGGCAGGCAGGAATCATGGAATCACTGAATCATTCACCTTGGAAAAGCCCTCTGAGGTCACCGGGTCCAGCATTCCCCCAGCGCTGCCAAGGCCACCACTAACCTGTGTCCCCAAGTGCCACCTCCACAGGGCTGTTAAATCCCTCCAGGAGTGGGGACCCCACCACTGACCTGGGCAGCTGTGCCAGGGCTGGACAGCCCTTTGCAGCAAGGAGTTTTCCCAATATCCAACCTCAGCTTTTCCTGGAAATGCCCCACTGATCCCTGCACGCTCTGTGCCCCATCCCAGAATTTCCCAGGAGTTCCCAGCACTGCTCCCGAGCATCGTCTCCTCGAGCGGGTCCAGCCCTGTCCAACCCCAAGCTGCAGCCCTTGGGAAGGGAGGAGCCGTCTCCTGGCACCGGGACAAGGCTCAGAGCCGGTCCTTGTCCGGTGTCTGAGGTGTCCCAGCCCTGTCTCCGCTCTAAGGAGGGCAGGGAGAGCTGGAAAATGCACCGGGTCACTTGAACCTGAGCCTGGCTTTGAACTCCTGACCCAGAGAGCAAATCCCCTCAGCCAGTCCATCCCATCCCTCCTGACGAGGGATTTGTGGGAATTATCCCCCTCTGCCATCCCCCCGGGGTCCTTCTGCCTGCCCCGCCTGGCGCTTTCGATCCCTTAATGACACTAAGAAGGGGCACTTTTCCCCCGATGGTCGGAGAAAGCTGGGTGAGGGGACACACGGACACGGCTGCGCTCTGGATTTGGGATGGGCTGGGGCAGCCCCGCCCCGCTCATCCCAGGGACCCGAGGGCTCGCCAGGAATGCAGCCACCACCGGCACCTCCACATCTCCAGGAAAATATTCTCCGGGTTAATTAAACCCGTGTAACGCTGATCCTGTCCATGGATTAATTAGGAAAAGCACAGAGGCCGTTGGGAGAACAGGTACAGGCATCCCTGGAGGGAGGAGGTGAATTCCCTGGGCAAGCAGAAGCATCCTGGCCTGAGCACGAGTGGCTCCGAAATTCCCTCCCTCTCCCTGGATGATCCTCCCCTCCCCCTTGGGTGATTCCTGTCTCCCTTGGGTGACTTCCCCTCTCCCCTGGCTGATCCCTCCTCTCCTCTGAGCAATTCCCCCTCTCCTGGGATGATCCTCCCTCACTTCTGGGTGATTCCTGCCTCCCCTGGGTGATCCCCTTCTCCTCTGGCTGATCCTCCCCTCTCCCCTGGGTGATCCCCTTCTCCTCTGGCTGATCCCCCTCTCCCCCGGGTGATCCTCCCCTCTCCCCTGGGTGATCTCCCTCTCCCCTGGGTGATCCCACTCTCTCCCTGGCTGATTCCTCCACCCTGGGGGTGGATCCAGATCCAAGAAAGCCGGAATCCCCTCCTTCCCATCCCGTCCCGGCTCCCCTGCACGGGCAGTGAGATCCTCCTGCCTCGAACCCTGTGGAACAGCAGGATCAGGGCCCAGGGAAGTGAAGTGAGAGCCCAAAAAGCCCCTTCCCTGGCAGGGTGTCTCGGGATGCTGCCGGGAGTGCTCGGCTGCCGCTCTCCAGCTGCGCTGCCATCGCGTCTCTTCCCATCTCATCACAGGGTTTGCAGCGCTCCCTTCTCACAGGGATGAATCATTCCGTGCCCCTCAAACATTCCCAGGCACAAAACCCCCATCCCTGGTGGCCTCTTCCTTCGTCCCTCCCGTGCTGGGACACAGGCGGGTCCCATCTCATCCAGGGGTCCCGGCACAGAGAGAAACCAGGAGGGGGTTCCTGACCTTGGAATCAAAATATAACCCAGTGAGGGGCTGGAAAGGATCCATCCTGCTCTCCCAACCTCCAGTGCCAACGAAAAACCAGCCATGAGGCGCTGCTGGTTGGGACCCTCCACCAAAACACCTGATCAATTAATTAAGCCATTAAATCATGAGCGGCCCTAAATCCCAGGAGCTCCTCGGGGATAACACCGGGAGGGAAATCAGCAGAAGTACCCAAAACACTCAGATTGCTGCAAAAGATGGATTTATCCCTGTCTGGTGGGTGAGCTGGGTGGGGCAGGAGGGGCTGGTGGCGACCATCCCTCTCCAGGCCACATCCAGAAGGGATCAGCCCCCTCCAGACCCAAGGGATCTTGGAAAACTTGGCCACTCGGCTCTTGGAATGCCTGGGGAAACCTGCCGGCCAGAAACAGCCAGGGACTATGGGGGGAGGACACCTGAGTGTGCAGAGAGCCTGACCCCATCCCCGGGGGGGCTGCACTGCACTGAGGGAGAGGAGGAGGGAGCCGGGCAGGGAGCCTGGAATGAGGATCCCTGGGGATGGCAGTGGCTGGGGAGGGACTGGCAGCCGGGGGGAGCCGGGAAGGTACAACTGGGAACTTGCTGCAGGGCAGGAAATGGTGTGAAAAGCACAGAAAGGGATTAAGAAAGACAGAGCTGAAGGAGAAAAGAGGGTGCGGGAAGGAGGGAGGGGAGGAGGCAGCGCCGGCCCACGGAGGGGGGGAGTGTTTCTCACCGGGGGATGAAGGCAGCAATGAGGCACCAAACAGCGGGAAAGGACAGGGATTCAGTCCCTGTGGAGAGGCTGCACCCTCCCAGCTCCGGGTTGTGGCAGCCAGTCCCCTGCCCGTGTCCCTTGGCCCTCCATGGCACGGGGACAAAGCTCTTCCCCTCGTGGCACGGCCAAGCCCACCTGTGTCCATCCCAGCTCCATGGAGCTGGCACTGGGACCCTGGGAAGAGGGACCCCAGGAAGAGGGACCCCACGTCAGCTGCCCATGCCAGGGAGACAAAGCCCTTTCCCTGGCATGGCACGGCCAAGCCACCTGTGTCACTCCCAGCTCTGTGGAGGTGACACTGGGACCCTGGGAAGAGGGACCCCCCTGCAGCTCCCAGATCACTGGGATGCTTTGCTCCTATTCCACAGTCCCTGTTGACTTTGTGGAAGTGACACTGGGATCCCTGGAGAGGGACCTCAAGAAGAGGGACCCCAAGAAGACGCTGCCCATGCCAGGGAGACAAAGCTCTTCCCGCAGCGTGGCATGGCCAAGGCAACCTGTGACCCTCCCTGCTCCATGGAGGTGACACTGGGAGCCTGGGAAGAGAGATCCTGGGAAAAGGGACCCCAGAAAGAGCGACTCCAGGAAGAGGGACCCCTCACCAGCTGCCTGTGTTGGGGAGACAAAGCTCTTCCCTTGGCATGGCGCGGCCAAGCCCACCCATGTCAATCCCAGCTCTGTGGAGGTGACACCGGCATTCCGGGAAGAGGGATCCCAGGAAGCTGGGACACTCTGCTCCTAACCATGGCACAGCCACCAAAAAATCCTCCCGCTCCAAATCCTCTTCCTTACCAAAACACCACGCATCCAGTGCCAGAACACCACACAGCGGCACAGTCCCCCCAAAACCAGCCCCCTCGACACACAGCGGGAGCCTGCAGCCATGGGCTTGGCTGCTGACACCCGGGCTGGGTTTGTTCCACAAAAGGGTTGGAAAAATTGGAATTATTGCCCGTGTGAATTGGTGGAACTGTGTCACCGTCTCCCGCTGCGCCGGACTGGGCAGGGAAGGGGCGGGCCTGGCTGTTCTGCACTGCAGTATTGTTGTTGTTGTTATTATTAATATTATTTAATTTAATTAATTAATTATTAGTGTTATTTTGTTATAAGTTCCTAAGCCAAAGCCACCCCAGCCCCACCGGATGCACCACCCTCGGCACGGCACGGCCTCTCCCGCTCCGCTCGCCCGCATCTCCCCACACCACAGCAGGGGAAAACTGGGAAAACCCCTCCCCATCACCGAAGATCTGCACAGGGAGGTGATGGAGAAGAGATGCCAGGCCACTGTTCCACAGGGAAAAGCCCCAGTGGATCCCCATCCTGCTGGGATTGGGGAGCGGCGGGTGCAGGGTCTGTGTGGGACCCACTGGCTCGGACACAGCCAGACCCCCACGGCACCCACGACGTCCCACCCCACTGTGGGGGCTGCCTGAGGACCTCAGCTCCCCACTGACACCCTCCTGCTCTTTCCTCTTCCCACTTTCATAGGATCATGGAATGGTTTGGGTTGGAAGGGCCCTTGAAGCCCGTCCAGCTCCATCCAGCTCCACCTTCCAGCAGCCCAGGCGGATCCAAGCCCTGTCCAACCTGGCCTTGACCCTCTGCCAGAGCCCCTGGGGTGTTCCTGCCTGTTGGGGGGTCCCTGCAGACCCCCCCCCCGAGCTGCCCCTCGTGTCCCCACCCCTAAACCAGCCAATCCTTGGGCTCGGGAGAACGAGATGGAGGAAAACCATCCCCCTGGAGCAGCACAGCGTCCCCCCATCCCTCCCCCAAACTCCAGCTCCCCCTGGGAGCCCCCCAGCCTTACCTGGGTCTCGGAGAGGTTGAGCTGCCGCGCTAACTCCGTCCTCTCCCTGCCCACCACGTACTGGCAGCGCTGGAATTCCAGCTCCAGGCGGTAGAGCTGCTCCGCCGTGAAGGACGTCCGAGTGCGCTTGGGCCGGTCCAGGTCCAGCCCCTTGGGCAGCACAATCTCCCGGATCGTCCCTTTGGCATCTGCGGGGGCAGCGGGAAAAGCCGTCAGGAAAAACCTCTGCGGGAACTGGTGGAACTGGTCCAAAAAAAGCCCAGTGGCTGGGAGAGGAAAAGTTAATTAAACTGAATTAAAGACCGGCTGCATCGTCAGGCCTGGTGCCGCCCCGAGTGTCGGGGCTGGACGCAGAATATCCATGAAAATCCCACAAGCTGGAGCTGAACAGGCACCACCCCATGGTTTGGTTCTCCCCTCTGGCACCAAACGCTGCAAGTTTATAAATATCCAGGGAACGACAACAAATCTCCATAAATTATGGGTTTTTTAGACATAAATAGAAATCCTAAAGTTTTTCAGGGAAACAGAACGTTTCATTCCAGAAATAACAGCTGGGAAAGCCAGGAGCAAAAAGCAGATTTATACCAGGGAAGAACTCGAATTGAAGGTTTGTTTAATTAAAAATATATGTTATTTTTTGTTTCTGTCCTTCCTCGGGAATATTGGAAAAAATTACCTCTATTACAACTCCCTTCTCTCCAGAATTATTCTCACTGAAGGAATGTTCCCTTGGAAAGCAGCAGCTCCCATTTTGGGGCAGTTTGCTATTAAAGGGCCATTTCGGAAGTGCTGTGGCCCCGAGCTGTTCCAGCAGCGAATTCTACAAGGCTGGGAAAGGTTGAGACTGTCCAGGGAAACAAAAGCCGGAGGGTTTAACTCCCCCTTCGGCTCCATCCACGCCGTGGGATGTGGCTCGTGGCCCTCCCGAAGGAGCCGCTGTGGCTTTACTTCCCACCGGCAAAGGACCAGCTCTCCCAAAAAACCCACAGAGTGCCAGGAGCCTGGCCCAGCTCCGAGGGCTGCGCCGTGGCACTCGTGGTGCTCCCAGCTGTGGCACCAGGAATCAACAGGAGCCTTGGAAATCACCCGCTGGGTCCTGCCAGACCCCAAACCCCCCGTGCTGACCCTCCCTGAGCTCCAGTAACACCAGTGCCAAACTGGTTTGGGTGAGCCCTGACCACAGAGCTCCCTGTGTCTGCCCAGTGCCTTTCCCAGCCATGGAAGTCTCTCCAGGGAAGCAGCCCCATGCCAGGCCCTGATTTTGGGGTGCTGGTTTCCAAGGCTGGAGGGTCCCCAGCAGCCCTGGCTGGAGGTCAGTGACCTTCCCTCCCTCCGGCTGAGTCAGACGGGAAGGGATTAGAAAAGTGCTGGGGTAGGGAGCGGGAAAACAGCCAGGAGAAGCCTGGGAAGGGGTGACGGAGAGGGGATGGGCACAGCAGAGCTCGGGTGGGGACAGTGGAGCTGGGATAGGGACGGCAGAGCGGGGATGAGGATGGAAGAGATGGGATAGGGATGACGGAGCTGGGATGGGAATGGTGGAGCTGAAATGGGGATGGTGGAACCGGCATAGCGTTGGCAGAGCCTGGGATGGGGGCAAAGGAACTGGTGTGGGGGTGGTGGATCTGGCATGGGGATAGTGGGAGTGGGGAGCAGGCACAGATTTGGGAGAGACCGCGCTCCCGAAGCCATTTTCCCACCACGTCCAGAGGTGTCATCCCGGCAGGGCCGCGCTGGCTCCAAAGGAGCCACTGGGGCCTGGGGACGACCAGGGTGGGAGGGAGATGGTCTGGTGGGATCAGATCCACAACCTACACCCCACAGGTGGGCATGGGGAAGTGGGAAAGGAAAGGGGTTGTAGGTGGATCAGCGGCTTTTCCGGTGGGATCGGGCCACCGGCCCGGGAACCATTTTGTGAGGGGAGAGCGGTGGCAGAGACGATGCCCAGCCCACGTCCGCACGCCCGTGCCCATGCCCGTGCCCACGCCGGGGCCGCAGCACAACAACAGCCGGGGCTGGTGGCTCGGAGCGCAGCTGCAGCTCTGCCCCCCGCCCTCGCCGCGCCGCCATCGCTCGGGCATTATTTATTGTTATCCCCCCGGCAGCTGGGCCGGGGCGGGGGGAGCAGAACTGCGAGGGGGGGAAGGAAGGGAAGGGGCACAGCCCACGGTACCAGCTCGGCACAGGAGAGGCAAACCCTTCGCCCCCAGAACCCTCGCACCCCGAAAACCTGCTGGGCACCACAGACCTTCCCCGTTGCGGGTTTTGGGGGCCCACAGCCATCCCCCTGTGCCAGGAAGGGCACAGCACCACCCTGCCTGTGGGACCCGCTCTGGAAAGCCTTCCCCATCAGCTGCTGAATCCTGGACCCCAACACCCTCCAGGTCCTGCCATGGCTGCCTGGGGGGTTCCTGCAGCCCCTGGCCTCGCCAGCGGGGCCCTGGTGGCACATCCTGCTCCTGGGGACTGGGATACACCTGACAGCAGCAGACCCGGGACAAGGTCTGGGACTGAAATCCCCCAAAAGAGCACAGGACACCCGTGTACACAGGGCACACCTCTCCCTGGCACAGGGACATGCCACATGCACCCATATCCACTGGGACACCTCTCCCTGGCACAGGGACACCTCAACCTGGCACAGGGACATTTCATGAACACCCATGTGGGCACAGGGCCACCTCTCTCTGGTAGAGGGAGATCCCACACACCCCGCTGTGCATGAGGATTTTTGCATCAACACAGCTGCCAGGACATTTTGGGGCTCCCACTCACCCTGCCAGCCCCTCAACACATCTTTCCAGTCCCTCTCCGTGCCATGGGGTGGCCATGGTGGCACCTCGAGACACGCTGAGGGGCACAGAAACCCGTAGCCCTTCTTAGTGCACCCCACATACCCACGGGGTCCCGCCCTGTGGTCTGCGACCCCCGGGCCCAGCGCCAGGGCAGCCCCGGGAGGTGACCGGGAGGAAGAGGGGGAACACCCCGGCTTGTGCCCCCCACCCTGCCCAGCCGCCCCCGGGGCTGCAGCGGCCGCGCTGGCAGCGGGAGCGGCCCCGGCGCTGCCCGGCTCTCTCCGCCGCAGAGCCCTTAGCCCGGCTATCCCCGGGAAAAGAGACCCGCGGGCGGCCGGGACCCACCGGCCCCACGAGACCGGGATGTCTGGGAGGCGAAACAGCCCCGTCCCCGGTACTGAGCTGTGCCAGGGAGAGGACCGAGACCCCGAGAGGGGGGCTGCCCAGGACCCCCGTCCTCAGCGAAGGCACCGCGGGCGAATACCGGGGCTGGAGCGGCGTGGGCGGCAGCTCCGCGGCAGCCGCCCCACACAGGGGCCGGGGCTGGCGAGGGGCGACGCGGCCCCGTCCCCGGGGCTGGCGGCGAGGGCGGAATTAAAAATACTGCAAAGTACGTTTAAAAAAAAATATAAAAATAAACATTTTAACCTCCCACTTTGCATAAACCCGACCTGGAGCTCTGCCCGGGCCTGGCCGATGCTCGGCCCTGACCCTGCCCGGCTGAGGGACCCCGGCCAGGTTCGGGCGGGGACCGGCGGGCCCGTGGCCCCACACACCGGTTGTCCCTGCTACGTCCCCCCCCGCTTCATTTCGGCTCCGTTCTCGGTTATTTGCGGCGATTCTCCCCGCCACCATTTTGTCCGCACCGTGGCGGCTGCAGCAAGATGGTGAGACCGAGCGCTACCGGGTGAGGGTCCCCGGGGTCGGGGTCAGCGGGGACCCTGCCCCTGGCCTGGGCACCGATCCCCGCCCCGCTCCCAACCCCGGGACCGTCGGGGCGGCCTCGGTAGGACTGAAACCGGCGGAGGAGAAGTCTGACCCCGGCCTGACCCCGGCGGGAACGGCGGCGGCCCCGCTCAGCGACCCCCAGGACGCGGGGATACCCCGGGCGGGACCCCCGGGCTCGGCCCACGAGCGCTGCCCGCTGCCCCGCCGAGGTGCCTGGGGAGGGCTCGGACTGCGACAGCCGGGCTGTCAGTGAAAGGCACCCATCGCGACAGCCGGGAAGAGGCTCCGGAGAGCGGCGGGGCCGTTTGCCGGGATGCCCGGCCCGGGATGGCGATCGAACGGGTCTCGGCTCCGGTCCCCACCGCCCCCGGGGCGGTGAGGAGGGAGGTCACGGCCGCTGCTCCGGTCCACGCCGTCCTGCCCGAGCGCTGGGCTGGGGACCGGGAGGCCTCAGCCCTGATGGCCGAGCGGCCGCCGAGCTGCTCCGGGCTCCGGGAGCCGCAGAGGGAGCGGGGGGACCGCTGAGCATCCCCGGAGCCGCGGGAGCCCCGAGCCGAGGGGCGCTCGGTCCCCGCCCGCCTGCCGCAGCCGCACCGAGGCACCCCAAACTTCTCGGGGTTCGCCACAAGGCAAACTGGCCCCGGCGAGCCCCGGGCCGGCGGGGACTGAGTGCGGACGACAGGGCGGGATCCGGGATGTGGGATGCGGAACGCGGCGACTCCGGGTCCCGCCGTGCCCCAGCCCCGGCCGACCCGGGGATATCGTAAAGGGAAAAAAAAAAAAAAATATCCCCCCCTCGCCCGCCGCCGCTACGTGACGCTTTTCTCCTGCGACATCGCTTCAAACGCGATGCTGTCCCCCCTCTCCCGCCGCCCGCGCGTCCCCGCGGGGCTCGGCCGGCCCGGGGGTCCGTGACCCCTCGGCTGTTCCCCCGGATCCCGCCGGGCACGCAAGGCTCCGCTCGGAGCCCGCTCCCGGCGGAGCAGGGCTGGGGCAGCGGGCCCGGTCCGTGCTGCACGGAGCGGAGCCGGGGGAATCGGCGGGGCCGGGAGATCGGAGCACGCAGCCGGGCAGCGCCCGGGAGCGCCCGGGATGCGCTGGAAGCGGTGCCGGGGATTCCCCATACTCGGAGCGGGAACTCCCGGAGGGGGAAACGGGGAGCGGTGGCCGGGAGCGGGGACCCTGCCCGTACCTCGCACCAGGATGCGGCGGCAGTAATCCGCCTCGCCGGTCCCCGACGGGCTCTCGGTGTCCGGGGCGCACTCCTTGGAGGAGCCGGGGCTGACCGCCGACGTTCCGGGGATGTCCTTGAAGCCGCCGCCGCCTCCGCCGCCGCCACGCAGGGCGCTCTCCAGCTCCGCCCGGGTCGGCGCCTTCTCCCGGGCCCGCCCGGTGGCTGCGGGCTCGGCCAGCAGCACGGGGCTCCCGCCGGGCTCGGCCCCTCCATCGCTCATTCCTGCGGGCGCCGCGGCGGGATCAAACATCAGGAGGGAGAGAGAGAGACGGGGAGAGGGAGACAGGAGGCAAGACTAGGCGGGGGGGATGGGAGGGAGCCCCCCCTTCCCCAAACCCCTTCCCCTCCCCGCCCCTCCACGGCCCCCCCGGGGCTCGGCGCCCCAGCTCACCCCCATGGCCGGGACCGCCGGGGGCCGTCGCCTCCCGCCTCTCGCCCGCTCCCACCCGGGGGGACGGCATTTAAAGCGCGCCCCCCTCCCCGCTCCACCGGCCGGGGGTGGTACCGCGGTGGGGAGGGTGGCGGGGACCCATCGGGGTGTCCCGAGAGGGTGCGAGGGGGGAAAAAGGAGTTTAGAACTTTGACAGGAGGCTGAGCCCCCCCCCCCACCCCTCGCCCCCTCCCCAGCTCCACCTCCCGCGGCACCTCGCTCCGGGCAAACTTCAGGCGCTCCGGCCGCAGCCGCTGCCCTTCCATGGGGCGCCGGTCCCGGTGCGGGTCCCGGTCCCGATCCCGGTCCCGGCGGGAAGCGGCGGGAGCGGGCGACCGAGCCGCCAGTGCCCGTGCTCGCCGCGTTGCGCTGGGATTCGCGTGCGGGGAAATCAATACCGGGAGATGGGGGGGATGATTTTAGGGGGAGTGGGGAGCGGGAGGGGAAGGGGAGGCCGAGGGGAGGGAGCTGCGGAGGAAGCGGCCGGGGGTGGGACCGGGGAAGAAGCCGGGTCCTTATTCCTCCGGCCCGGCCCTCCCCCGCCGCCGCGCTCGGCTGCGCATCCCCGGCCGCCGCCGGAGCCGGGAGCGGGCGGCAGAGCCCCCGCCGCGCCGGGGAGCGGCCGAGGGGGGAGGAAAGGGTCGCTTTTAAATTAACAGCCCGGTACAGACGCAATTTCCTGCTCTCCCGTTCCGTGACACCGATTGGTAAACAAAGAGCCCCGGGAGCGGCAGTTGCCCGACCGCGGCGGCCGCTGCGGCTCCCGCGGCGGGGGTGCCGCCTTCCCAGGGGGCTCAGCCACGGGGACCCCCGCCGGGCCGGGGAAGGGCCAGTCGAGGTGTAAACGAATAAAAAATATCCCCCTCCGCTCTGCCCCTCCCCGGGCCGGGCGGGGGCTCGGAGGGTTCCGTTCCCTCTTCCCCACGGTGCCCCGCAACCCGGTAGTCCGAGGGTGCCCAGTTACGCCACCGCCTCCCCGGGATGGGGCTGCGGGGGAGCCCCGGAATCCCCGCTGAGCGGCACAGCCGCTCCCGACAGGGGCGGCGACACCGACACCGGGACCGGGGAAGGCGGCTCCCGGTGCCCGGCTGGGGCTGACGGACCCTGGCGGGGGACGAGGGGGTTCCCGGGCACTCCCTCGCCTCGGGGGGCTCCGTTTCGCAGCTCTCTGTAACGGGGCAAAACCCGGCGGAAAAGCGGTGGCGATGAGTCCCCGGAGCAGGGGGGGGCGGCCCCCTCCCTCCCCGTTACCCCCCCGGATCCCCTGAAACGGAAACCGTTGCAATGCTGGTGGATTAAAAATCAGTAAATTAACTGTTAAGCCAAGCGCCCCTGAGAATTCGCACCCCCCGACACCCGGCCGCTCCCCGCCGCTCCCGCAGCCCGGCACTGGGCACCGCTCGGGGTGGAGGGGCCCGCCGGGGTCTGGGCCCGGCCCGGTGCACCGAGAAAGAGCCCGACCGAGACGGGCAGTGCCCAGTTCGGGAGTCTGCCAGCGCCCGGGAATTCGAGGCCTTGGGCTGGCGTGGGACACGAGTGTCCGTGGCTGTGGCGGCCTGTGCCCGTCCCTGGAACAACCGAAGCAGCGTGGAGCGGGGGAAAACAGATTAGGGGCAAAAATAAAATAAAAAGGAAAAATAAAGTCATAGGAATAAAGGAAGTAAGAGGAAAGGAATAATATAAAAAGGGGGGGGGGGAACGAAAGGAAAAAAAGTAAACGAAAAAGGCCGAGCGGGGAGCGCGCGGGGAGCCGGGCCGTGGAGGACGGGCCCTGCCGAGAACCAGTAGCCCTGGCCCGCACTCCCGGTTCTGCGGGGCCCAGAGGGGCGAGAGAGGGGCGGCGGGACGGGACCACCGGTTCGGGGTAGGTTCTGGAAGCCGTAGCTGGTTCCCCGCTCCCCGTTCCCCGGTCCCTTCTCCCAGTCCCCGCTCTCGGAGCTGCGGCGAGGCCGGGCCGGGGCCGCACAGCCGGGCTCCGCTCTGCCCCACCACCGGCCTGGCCGTGGATGTGACACCGGCAAAGGATTTTAAACGAAACCCAGGAAAAATAACCTCACCCCACCCCACCCCACCCCACCCTGCGGCCCCAACCCCCCCGGACCGTGCAGAGGCGATGCCCGGTGGTCACGCGTGGGGAGGCCTGCGGGCCGGTCCCGCCGGGAAGGGGGGAACAGCCGCCGAAAGGGAGCTGCTGGAACGAAATATCCTCCCTCTGCCGAGCCCCGGCCCCGAGCGGCGGCTGAGGCCGCGGTACGGCCGGGAGAGAAGCGGCCTCGTCACCCGCTCGGCCCCCGGTGCCTGCTCGGCCCCCGCCACCTCCACACGGATCCCGCTCCCTTCCTGCTATTTTTTCCCTTTATCCCTGCGATTAGCGTTAACAACAGCGGGAAGAGATTTTCTCCGGGGGAAGTGGAAGCAGGGAAAGGGAAATGCCGGGTGAGAACCGTCTCTGCCGCTGCCGGGAAGGGGAGACGAAGGGATCCGCGCTGCTCCGCTGGCTGAGAGTGGAACTGGGTCCTCAGAAAAAATAATACAAATAATAATAATAATAATAATAATAATAATAATTTTAAAGATGTCCACTTTTATTGTATCGTTATTGTTGTTGTTGGTTTTGTTTTGGTGGTGTTGTTACCGTTGTTGTAATTAGTGTTAATATTAGTGGTATTAATGTCACTAGTAGTGTTACTATTATTTGTAGTAGTACTATTGGTGTTAGTACGATTGGTATTAGTGCTATTGCTATTAGTGCTATTTGTATTATTTATTGTTATTATTATTATTATCGGTATCCCTATTTTTTCTCGCTCCCGGGGCCGTGTGGAGCAGATCCAGCCCAGGGAAGCCCTGCCCGAGGTGGGAGCGGCCGCTCTCTCCCGGAGCATCCCCGTTCCCAGCGCTCCGGCCCCGCTGCCGGCCCTGCCGAGCCCTCGGAGCCCTCCCGAGCCTCCGCCCCGCTCCATCCCCCCCTTCCCGCCGCTCCGGGGACGGTGTTGGAGTGAAAAAACCACATAATTCCTTTATTTTCCCGGTTTGCAGCCTGATCCGCCGCCCGGAGCGCCCCGGGCCCGCACCCCCCGGTGCTCCCGTTCCCCCCGGAGATGGAGGTAAGGCCAGGCCGGCGGGTGCCCGCCCGGCTCGACTCGGCTCGGTGGGCTCGGCTTGGCCCTGGGCCCGGCTGCGGGGGGTGCGGTGTCCGCCGGGAGCGGAGCCGGAGCTTCCCCAGACCCCGAACCGGCCGCCCCCGGCGAACCCCGGCCCGCTGGGCTGACACCAAGGGCTGCTCGGGGGGCACCGGGGGGGACCCTCCTTCTCCTCCTGCTCCTTCCCTTCCCCGCGAAGGAACGGCTGCCCCGGGAGACCCCCGGCCCGACCCTGTGCTCCCGGGTGGGGGCCCCGCCGAGGGTCTTCGGGGCCGGAGCAGCGAGGCCGCGGCCGGGCCCGGGCAGGGAGAGCGCGGCGGAGCCCGGTAACGGTGCGGGGCCTCGGTGGGCACGGGGGGACGGTGTGGGGACACGGGGGACTGTGTGGGAATAAGGAGGGACGGTGTGGGGATACTGGGGGACTGTGTGGGGACACGGGGGGACCGTGTGGGAACAAGGGGGGACCGTGTGGGGACACGGGGGGACTGTGCGGGGATACTGGGGGGGGCTACAGGGAGACACGGGGGAGCCGTGCGAAAGCACGAGGGAACTGTGAGGGGACATGGGGAACTGTGCGAAAACACGGGGGGATTGTACGGGGATACGGGGGGACTGTGCGGGGACGAGGGGACCTGTGGACGGACACGGGGCGAGTGTGTGGATACGCAGGGGGCTGTGGACGGACACGGGTAAACCTGCAGGGACGCAGAGGAGCCGTGCAGAAACACGGGGGATTGTGCAGAGACACGGGGGGACTGTGTATGGACGCCGGGAGACAGTGCGGGGACACGGGAGAGCCGAGTGAAAACACGGGGGGACTGTGAGGGAACTCGGGAAGCTGGGGGGACGAAAGAGCCTAAAGAAAACACGGGGGGGACTGTGCGGGGGCACGGGGAATGGTGGGGATACACGGGAGGGCTGTGCACGGACACGGGGAGCTGTAAATGGACACGGGGAAAAGTGTTGGGGCACGGGGGAGCCGTGCAAAAACACGGGGGGACTGTACGGGGGCACGGCACAGCCTTCCGAAGACACGGGGGACTGTGGACAGACACTGATAAACGTGCACGGACACGAGGGAGTCGTGCAAAACCACGGGGCGTGGACATGGGGGGACGTGCAGTGACACGGAGGGACTGGGTACGGGACGGGAGAGCCTCGTGAAAACACGAGGGGATCCTGTAAGGACACGGGGAAATGTGCAAAAACACGGGAGGACCGTGTGGGACACAGAGGACATGTCCACGAGTGCGGTGGAACTGTGTCCGGCCCCGGTGTGAGTGTGCACGGACACACGGACACGGGGCAGCCACCCGTGGGCACGGTGGGACCGGGCAAGGCTCCCTTCCTTCCCGTGGGTGGCTGCTTTGGGTGGGTGGGTTGTTTTTAGAGCGATCAGGGTGGCCGAGCCCGCGCACAGCCACGGGTGGGTGTGCATGGACACCGTGTTATCGTGCCCGAGTGCGGGTGGGTGTGCGTGGGCTGGGTGCAGGGTCCCTGCTGGGCAGCGGGTGTCTCCTCGGCAGCGCTGCCGTGCCTTTCGCCACGGCCCTGCGTGGATTTCCTCCCCGGGACCGTCCTCGGGGACACCCCCGTGGGTACCCAGCCCAGATGGGCCCCCCACGGGCCCCTGGCAGCGCCGTTTTCATTGGCGGAGCGGGCGGTCACGGGGAGCCTGGGGGGGTCCGGGATCGGGCGGGCGGGGGACACCCCTCCACGGGTGTGGGACACCCTAGCCCGTGCCGTGACCGCTCCCACGGCCCCGGGGCTCTCCCCGGGGTGGGCGCGCTCCTCCTGGCCCAGCCCGCCCGACCCCGCCGCGCCCGCTCTGATAAAACGAAATCAAACGAAATTAAGCGAAATCAAACGAAATCAGGGGGCCCCGGGACCGCAGCCCCCCCGGCACGGCCACCCCGACACCCCACCCATGGCCGAACCCGCCCGCACCGGGGGGACCCACACAGCGCCTGCACCCCGCGGGTCCCCACACCAAACGGGTCCGCAGCGGCGAGGCCACCTCCGCGCGTGGGGCGCGGGTAAGGGCACCCCGGATCGCTTCTCATTCCCAAGGATCTACTCCTTTACTATCCCCACTCCTGGGATCCCCCTCCTGGGATCTCCTCCTCTGGCATTTGGGATCCCAGTCCTGGAATCCTGCTTCTGGG